CTTGGGATGGTACGAATACAGTCCTTAACAGGCTGAGCGACGTGGTAGTTCGAATTCTTAAGTCATCGATTTCTAAGCCCAAAGTTGATCATTACGACAGGCTAGCTCCTTACTATGGTCATAGTACGTAATGTATACGATGTAAATAGTATAAGACCATGGTCCTTTTTGTTTCTAAATTTGTATTGGATTTGATTTGTATTTAGTATTTGATTTGTTGTTCCTTCACCGATGTTATAGGATAGTTGCACTGCTTATTTCAGCGATCCAATTCGTCCCAGAGGCTCTCAATAGGGTTTAGGTCCGGAGATTCGGTTAAATCCATTCTTACCACACAAATCCATGGTGAACTTCGCAACATGACAGTGAGTGTTGTCCTGAAAGTAACATGGGTCCAACCAATAAAACTGCCACAATGTAGGAAACACACTCTCATCCAAAATATTGCAGTAGGCATTGGCATTCAGCTTACCATGAAGGGAATTATTATAAATCGAAGTGAAAAAGACGTCAACAAAAGATACGAAAAGAGGAATATGATCGGAAAAAAAAAAAATCCAAAACAAAACCTTCAATTGCACGGGCGGCTAAAACTCACCGGGAACTGAAGAAATTCAACCAATCAGAATAAGCCACCGCTGGGGACTGTTTTTGGCGACCAATTTTTATGCCAGCAATGGAAGGTTTTGTTTTGGATTTATTTTCCGCTCATACTCCTCTTTTCGTTTCTTTCGATGACGTCTTTTTCGCTTCAATTTTCTAACTTTTATTTCTATAAAAGACAACGGAGTGAATATGGAAAATTAGGTGGATTTTCACGTGAAATGTGTAATAAAATTTCTAGCCTGTTCCAGCAAAAAAAAAAAAAAAAGGCGTACGGTGTTGTATCGTAAAAATTATATGCTAAATTGGACATTTCACTTCATTTTGTAGCACTGAAAATTACAAAGAGCATTTATTTTTTGATTACCAAGTAAAGAATGCACATGAAAATGTCTTTCTCAAGTTTTCCTGTGCAGAAAATATGTTACTTTTTTCTTTCTTCTTCTTTTTTTTCTCCCCAGAAGGCTCCTAAATGCTAACAAATTATAATTTTTCTAAGATGTATTGCATTTTTGTGTGATGTGTTTTTTAAGAAATGTAACACATTGAATAAATTGATAGTAAAAATCTCAAATATGCTGTATTTTTGAAAAGGTTAATATGCAATTTTTTAAATTGTTTTCTTTATCTAATAAAATCTGGAATTCTCTCCGAATTTCAACACATGAGAAATGTACATAATATGTTAAGAAATTCTTCCAATTTTTATATTTGAATCTCAGTTCAATTAACGTACTTGAACTATACTTGATTTCCAAAATAATATTTTCTCACAGAAGACTAAATGCAGTACTTTTACTAACATAACATGTGTGACGGATTAATGCATGCAACAAATATATTTTTAGAATAAATGTCAGTAGCATAACTTGACGAATGTAAAATGTGAAGATCTTCATAATGTATTATATATTAGATATAATACAGTTCATAATCATCCGAAAAAGAACCCATGAGTGTTAAGACTGCTGAACATTGATAGCTAGGTTTTTATCCTAACAAATGTGATTTTGGACACAGCTCAGCTTATCTGGTCTAATGATCTCCATAAAATGATAAATGAAAAATAAAGTATTTGTACTCAATATTATATCTGATCTGCAAACAAGATTACTGTGGCTGTGGAAACCAACATGCCAGTGAAATTGTTATGTGTCTTGTAGATACTACACAATCACATCAGCTATAAGTACTCTATCAAGCAGTATGGGGATAGGTACCATATAGGCACACATAAAACATTTGTAATTATGTATTTTAAAGTTATAGGCTTTCAATACGATTAGAATTTATATTTCTGTAATACACGAATCTTCTGTGAAACATGCTTATTTTGCTTAAATCTACTTCCAAAGTACTTTAATACAACCCATTGTTTAGAAAATATTAATGTTTCTGACATTCAAGAGCAGATAAAAGTATGTCATACTTAACTGACAAAAACATGTAAAATTAAAATAAGGCAAAAATAGCTGCTTAACATAAAATCTTGTGTCAGTTTTAAGAATTAAAGAATTAACTAATATAGGTCCCTCTTCTTCAAAAAAAACGTTTTTATTCCTGGTTTTATCATATATCAGATAACCCTCGAAATTAATCAGAATTATTCAAATTCTGCATCAGTCTACCTTTTTTTTTTTTTTTTTTTTTTTTTTTTAAATCTTTAAATTCATGACCTGTCAAAATTTTGAATTTTGTGACTATATGTTTTTGAGAACCTGGGATCACATGTTTCATGCTAATTTCTAAATTATTTTTTCTTTTGGGAGTTACAGTGTTATTTTATGAGTTATCCCATATCATCATTTTAACATACAGATTCTCTGAATAATCATCATATTTTCTACATTTCAGTAGGAGCTTTTGTTATTTGCCTATGGAAAAATACATAAAAGAGAGATTTCTAAAAGTTTTAAAAGTACTTTACATAAAAAAAGACATTCTTAAAATATTTTTCTTTATTGAATTTTACAATGTATACAGTACATGAAATAATAAGAACCTAGATACCACCAAGCATTTTCAGATACACCCAGAAATTTCACAATACAGTAACTTTTATCCTTTTTAAAAGTGTATCAAACATTTATTCCGTATCGAGATGCAAATTGAGTAGAATATTAAGTTGTATTTGTTTTCGAAATTGAGATTTACATACTTCACTTATCGCCTCTACAGTAAATTAAATATTAAATCATATCTGCATACCACAAAATCATGGAGGTAGGAAGTTAGATGGAGTGGCCCTCAACCGGTTTCCCCATACCCTGCTTTGAAACACTGGCGATCCCTTCTTTAGTGACCCAAACATTGGGTAATTTACCATTTAGTTCAATGGGTTTTGACACGATCGGATGTAAATATTCTGTAATTACGTCGTAAATATGCATATAAATGCACATATTTTCTTTTTCTACAATACTTCAGAGGCCTAAGTATATGAAAAGAATACATTTTTAAACAACATTTCATTCTGAACGGAATTAAATGCTATCATTTTCACAGAACAGTTTGCTCAGAATGGTTTAATTTGAAATATTTTCACAAGTTTCCGTTAATTACATTGGAAAAAAAAATTAAGGCAATTCGATTTGATTCGGTTAAGGATTACAAAAATTAAGATCAAAGTTTATTGTATTATTAAAATTATGCATTATTTCTTTTCTATTTATAGAGCTTCTTCTTAAAATACTTTCTCAAATATGACATGATTTTTTAGCTTCTGAGGCATCTTTTAAATCGAAAGCTATAAGTCAATTTCTAATTAATGCTCTATTCGGTCCATTTCAAAACAGAGCACCTTTTAATTTAATAGCGAAACAATTTAAATAGTACTTAACTTCCTCTGAATATTTCTGAAAGGGAATAAAATAAGGATTATTTTTTAAATATTATTTAAAACTGACTTATTTAAGGGGAATAATTCTTCTAATTATACTTATTAGATTTTTTTACCCTTAATTTCAATAATACATATTTCAAAACTCTTCTTTATTACTTTCTTAAGTATGCATCTCATAGAAATTGCTTTACAATACCTTTTAACAGATTGCTTTCCAGTACGAACAATTCTTGCTTAAATAGTTTTATAATGTATTTGTCAACAGGATGTCAATTTATGTTTACAATTCAATGCTAAGGTTATTATATATTTAGATAATACAAATCATTATGAACTTAGATGCAAATTTCTTCACAGTAACTTTCACAGTTATTTATGAATGAATAAATCCTTCATTTCAAATACATTTATAAATAATTAAATATTTACGTATTTTGTCAAAGGCAGATACACGCCTTTTGGAAGCACACACATGAATACAAATACATATTTTTCATTTCCGGCATGCGGAAATCTTTAATTTCTGAGCATTTACTATATTTTTCGAGTAAAGTAATTTACACTAATTTTCAAAAGTACATGTTACAATAATACTAGGATGTGAAAAAACTTTATTTTATTTAAAACATTTTGGCGTTTGGAACATAAAATAAAAGAAGCGAATACTGTATTATGGGTACCGAAAAATGTATACAATTTTAAAGGTAAGGTGAAGTATTTTTCATTCTTTAAGCATAACTTTTTTGCTAAAATCTATATTTTTGTAGTTCAACAGCTTTGAATTTTATAAAACAAATTCATAACCAAAATCGCTGTTGTTAGTTATCGAGAAATAACCAAGATGTGATTTTTGCGTAAATGTGGCTAAACTATACAAATTGCTCTTATCCATCATACTAGGAATGTTTCTTTTATGCGGAAGTGTCCCGTTTTTCGATTTGTATAGAACTGTCGTGTGTCAAAATACTATCAGAGCGCTGTCAACCGAGCTTCTGAATGTAAACAAAAAAAAAAAAAAAAAAAAAAAAAAAAAAAAAAAAAAAAAAAAAAAAAAAAAAAAAAACCACCCCATCTGGTGACGAAGCTTCGAAGCAGTGTTTCACTTCTAGTACCGGTTTGGCCACTCCCTCCTTTCTTACCTCCATGCACAAAATAACTAAAACAAATGAACTACTTCTACCCAAGAAGTATGGACAAGTTACCATAACATTAACAACTGCGTTTGGAGATCGCAAAATGATGCCAAATGTTTCTGGTGCAACAGTTAAATTTCTCCCATTCCTGGCTGGTTTTAGCCGTCTGTGTATAAACATTGCTTACAACATTAATTCGGAAATCTTAAAAGTAAATACATGTCGATATCTGTGAATATGTATGATTGAATGATTTTATTTATTTTTATTTTTTAAAGGGAAAATAGGAAAATGAGTAAAAAATTCAATCTGTGCTTAAGATCATAACAGTTCTAAACAGTTAGAAAATATACATGTATTTTGCTAAAAGGGATTTCTAGCAGGGTATATGTAGAATAAAAAAGACCATTCACTAACAGAGATCAAGAAAAAACACATTTATTAATCATTGAACACTCATAGGATTACTGAAAACTAAACACAGTAATTATCCAATACAAATCTCAACATTTAAAATATTATGAAGAAGGCAAATCAATATTTCATCATTGTACAAATGTATCTACAGTAACAACCTCTCTTGGCTAAAAAACGCTCTCAAAAATAAATTGCATTTTCAAAATATTTACAGAATAAGCAATGCTGAAAACACTAACTGTACAAAAGTTCAGATTTTTTACATATATTCCTAAATGAATTGCACAGTTATATATTACATGTGTCATTTACACAGCCCATCATATTCTTCTTGCCTTTCCTTCGCAATACCGACAACAAGCACACCAAAAGATTATTTACATAAATTTAACAATTTTCTTCAACAGCTATGGTACGGTTGGTACAGTAAATGGTACGGTTCATTGCATAGCAAATAAGATAAATAGGCTATGTATTAGTCTCTCTGTACAGCCTAATATCCACTATAAAAGTCTACACTTTTTTTCACTAGAGATATATGTATAATATATATGATACATCACCTCCGGAAACTTGCTTAAAATTTTCTTAGTTAAAAAAGTGTGATTACTGATGAAAATAATAGGCAAGTTTACATAAATACTTATAAACTAAGGTTGGTACAAGAAATATGTTACATTTATTTGGTAATAACTAATCCAATATCTTTAAACTAGCATTCATTCATTTATACAAGACATTACACAGTATAACAAAATATCTAAATGTTATACATCGTCATTAAACATCAAAACGAGAAAATAAAAGCTCCAATATAAAAAAGATGCAGCAGAGATTAAAATTCTAGTTTCATAGCAAAACAAGGTATATTTTTACTATGCTTTTTAACATCACCCAATGACAATTTGTAAATATCTCTACGATCTAACTGATAAATTATATTTCAACATCCAGAAATTTTAAAACATACTTGTACTAAATCAAAATCTGTGTCATTTGATACAAGCTTGACTGGTCCTAGATTTAAAGTATTTAGATTAGAATATAATAAAGCTGTTTAAAAGGTTTTAAAATAAGTTGAGCACAATTGTGGAAAATGAAATATGCAATTCTTAAGATTAAGTTCAAGATAAAAATGTAGTAATTACAAGTGAACCTTATAAAGGAAAAAAAACAAACATACAATACTTTGAATGGTTACCAAATGCAAACATAAAACTTTCAATATGAAAGAAAATAAGAAATTGTTAAACATGTAAAAGGTTAACTTTTCAAAAATAAATTCAATAGGATAACTCATTAGTTAACCACACCGCTATTGAACAGACATACATGAATATACATATTGTCCTAAATTAATGAGTTCACATTTTATTTCTATTTAAGAATTAATTTTAAATATTAGCAAACAAGTCTATTAATATGTTTAGAGGTAATAACTAATAGTATTAAATAAAGTAGATTTAAGCTTTCATATTTTACAGTTACTATTATAAGCATATATTTCAGTGATTAAAACATCAAAAGAAAAAAAAAAAAAAACAGTTTTATACTGTGCCCATTATACCTAGACCAAACCATACTTTCAAAATATATACTGAGTTATAAAGTACTCCTTATTCTAATCAGGCACTATTGTGGCAATTATTTAAAAAATGTATTCCTTAAGTTTAACATAAAAAGATGTACTGTGAGTATAACATTCAGAAAAAACAATAAAAAATCCACTTCAGAATAAGGTACTTCATCTCTGCTAGTAACTGCACAACAATAGTCACCGTTGTGCTTTCTTAATAAATGCTAAAATATTCAGAGAAGGAAAATATAATAATGAAACCTGATCTCTGCAAACCACAAATATATATTTCAGAGTCACAGAGTTCAGAGTATGAGAGTTGGAAGGAAATCAAACAGCACCAGCATTCAATGATGGTCAATGATTGGTAGGCACTGAAGTTTAAAAAAAAAAAAGAGAAAGCTGATTAAAGATACTTGGTATCTAATTTTTGAATTAAAATTTAAAAAATAAGCTTGTGATAGGTTTTGGACCCTGAGGATTTTGTGTCAAACAGATATAGTTAAAATTTTAAGTACAACATCAAAAACAAATAAAGGAAATTTCATATTATAGTCTTAACATGCGTATGATTGGAATAACTTTAAATCTGCCACAAAGACAGCTTCAGTCTTTTACAAGTAGAAGATCAAAGCTAAGAACTATGACCATGGAAATGAACAACCTTTTAACTGTACTAACAGTAACTAACTGTAGCAGGAGGCTAATTTACTGTGCCAGTTGTTGGTCCTCTTATCCCATTACCCAGTGGTTTGAAATTTGATTCAACAGTAGCTATATATCTTTAACATTTAAAATTGCTATGCAAATAATATAATCACAATCTGCCCTAAAGAATCAAGTAACTTGCAACTGCATCACATATGTACATTTTAGGAAATACATGAAGGTAATTTGACAAGCCTGATTTGATATTCAAATATTGTTTTAGGGGAGGTTAAAATAAATTTCTCACTGTTTTCCAACAAATGGTGTTATCAGAAGTGTGTGCACATAGTTTAAGATGAAGACGCATCTATATGGAAGCTTGAAATTTAATGCATGTCATTTTGCAGAAGTGTAAACACTTTTTTTTTGTTTGTTTGTTAAATATGTCAAATTTCATGCCCCCTCAAAAAAAAAAAAAAAAAAAAAAAAAAAAAAAAAAAAGGTGCTTGTGGAGAGTTTTATTGCACCACTTTATTAAAAAAAATCTGCAGCTTAAGTACACAGAATTCTTGTTGAGACTTTGAGGCAACCATGCTTTTTTGGAAACAATACGCAGATACTGGTTTAGATGGTTAAAAAAATAATCATTTTGAAGCTGAAGATAGAGAGAGGGAAAAAAAAAAAAAAAAAGTTTGTAGATGAAGAACTGGAGGCATTATTTCATTAAGACTCATATCAGATCCTAGCTGAACTTGCAGAATCATTAGAAACTGATCACACAACAGTTTGGAAATGCTTGAAAGCATTAGGAATGTCATTGGGTGCTATACCAGTTAAACAGCATCTTTTCACATGTGAACAGCTGCTTCAACAGCAGAAAAGGAAAGGTTTTTTTTTTTTTTTTTTTTTTTTTTCTTTTTTTTTCCTTCAGATCATGATTGGTGATGACAAATGGATATGTACTATGATAACCCTAAACATAGAAAATCATGTAGTAAGCCCAGTCATGCATCAACATCATCGGCAGAATCGAATATCCATAGTTCCTAGCTTCTGCTCTGCATATGACGATTAGCTGGGTGCAGTTCATTATGAGCTGCTTAAACCAAACGAACTATCATCGGAGATTGCTATTGATTACAAATGATGCGTTTGAGCTGAGCACCGAAGGAAAAATGGTCACTGTATGAGAAGAGGTACAAAATAGTGATTTTACAGTATGACAATGCTCAGCCGCATGTTGCAAAACGAGTGAAAACCTACTCGGAAACATTTAAATATTAAGTTTACCATATTCACTACACACTGCCCTTTCTGATTATCCCTTATTCCAATCGATGGCACATGGTCTGGTTCACCAGCATTTCCTTTTTACGAAGATGCCAAAAACTGTATTCCTGAAGGATCCTAAAGATTCTTTGATAGCCTCAAAAGACGTGTTGTTTTTCCAATGTGGAATTTAAATGCTGCCACAAAGATGGAAAAAAGTAATGGCTATGGATTGATAATACTTCCAGCGACATGTTTTTTGCTGATTTTTTTTGTTGAAATAAAGCACTAATTTTCATGAAAAAACAGCGAGAATTTATTCAACACGCCAATAGCAGCTGGCTTTAACTTACTGAATCAAGCATACATACATGTAAATCTTCTTCATAAATGATTTTTCCTATTCACCAACTGTGCATACTTTATGCACAGTTTTTAAATATCACAGAAGCAAGAAACAAGTTTAAGGATTCCAGTACATATGGTTTCTTAATGCCATTTGATATCAAAATATGTTTTTTATTGAGGTTTAAAATTAATAAAAAGCTCATCAAAAAGAAAGATAATCAAATTCAAGATTTAATAAAAATTTACTCAAATGGCAAACAAATCACAAAGTTATGAAAAATTCCTTAACATTAAAATGAAAAATAAGTTAAAAATAATTTGAGAGTAAAATTATCTATAAAAATTGTAAGTTTTAATATAATAAAAATCTCATTTTAAGACATTTCACAAATTGATTAGAAAAATAGTGACATTGTCACCAATGACCCTTTTCACAGATGTATGTTCCACATTATAATACTCACAGAAAAATTTATTATAAAGAAGCTAAATTTCCAATATCACAATTAGATTCTCCATGAATTTGTTATCTGAATATCTGAAAGTGTAGCATTCTAAAACAGCCAAGATAGTTTTATTCAATACTTCAGCAAAAACAGGTATGTATCTACAATATATCTAATGACAGTTCACTGTGAGAATGATCATGATCTTGGCAGGAAACATTCATATGAATAATATTTAAATTCTCCATAGATCTATTTTTAATCAATAGAAAATAAAGTCTATTATGATTACAGCTGACTTGCACTGGTTCAGTGTCATTCTTTACTAAATATATTTAGTTCAGTAAGCATTCTCCAGTATTTCAAAGGTTTATCTGAATAATTTAGCAATACAAAGGTGCAAATATTAGATTATTCAGAAACTATATCATCAAAAACTTCACAGTTGAAAACACTGAAAAGAATGTTTACAAAAGATACATCAATAAGAATATGGTATTAAAACGAAATAGAAACTACGTTTAAAATGTTATCACTGTCACTAATTTTTGTGCTTAATATACTTTGACAATTCACCATGGCTAAATACCTGCTTTAAGAATGTTAATTTGGGGCAAAAAATTATCTTCTCAGCACATCTCTACTTGAATAGATATGTTAACAAACAAAATTGTCTTTTTTAGTATGAAAACAATGCACAAGAGATCCGCCAGATGCCCTAGCATTCGGGAAAGGTCACCTAGTTTTTTTTTTTTTTTTTTTCCCCTCCTCAGAACAAGAAAGGAGATGTAGTTACAGTGACTGATGAGTGATACTGAATGAAGATGAATTTTTTGTGGCCAAATTTGGAGGACATGTGGTTCCAATATTATGGTGCCCCGTGTCACACTGCTAATTCAGCTCTCAATGTATTGCCAAAACAGTTTAGTCAAAGGATAATTTCAAAAATGCCATTATTACTTGGTCTTCCAGAAGTTGTGATTTAATGCCTTTAGATTACTTTTTGTACATTTATTTCGAATCTACCGTCTATGCAAAAAAACTCACAAACCCTTGAAACATTAAGAACAAGCACTGAACGTTGTATTCGTGACATTAGACTGGAGTTATTGCATTTAGTCATCAAAAACTGGGTTCGTTAAATTCACTCATGTGCACCAAGTTGAGCAGGATACTTCAATAATGTTTTATTCAGAACATAATGCATTTCAAACCAATACAAAAAGTTTGGTTGTACTTGAAATAGCTTTTATTTTATTTAATTTAAATATCATATTCTTTTTGAAAGACCCTTTACTTGAGAATAATTTCTTTCCATTTTTAGATGGCGATGTAAGTACATTACAATTTTAAATTACAAATAAGAAAAGGAAAAGAACTTGAATATAGTTAATTTGAAAAATAATATATTTGGCATTTAAAAGAAACTTACACAATTTTTAATAAGCAGTGCATATCATGATTTAAAACAAATAGTCCATAGATATATAGAGACAGAGATAGATTTTCCTCCAGAGGAACATACAAGGTGAGTCAGAAATATGGCTACAATTTTAAATAAATGTGATGTATACTGTAGAAGGACATGGTATGCTTCATAATGTATATTTCAAATAACAGTTAACAATCCTGAGCTATTATCATCAGCTAAAATAACACTGAAAAAATGTAGCAATAAATTTCAGTCGCAACCTAAGCATTTGCAATCATGTATTCAATTAAGAGCTCATTGTCCAGAATGATCCATCACTTGTGAGACTGCAGATATGTCATTTTCTTCAGCAGTATTACTACAGACTGCAAGAACCTGCTTGTAATAGTAATCAGCCTTAAAACACTTGAAGTAGTATCATTGCAGCAACTTCAGAAAGGATGGAAATATTCAAAATGCTTGGCATTTTGATGAAGTAAAATAAATCTGGAAGGTATTTGTTTACTGCTCTTCAGTTTGAAAAATGCAAATTTTGAATGCACTGCCTTATTTCTTCCAGCCATAAAATACTGTCATCAAGTGATGCAGTTAAATACACAGCCATATTTCAGACTTACCATATTAACTTAAAAGCAAAAATGAACTTTTTTATGTGCTCACAAAACAAATAATTTCCATTTATGCAGAGGTTTAAAAGCAGTCTTAATATTTTTGGCAATATTTACAGAAAACACTCACTAACCTGACTGTTTTGTTTTTTGATAATAATACAAAACTGGTGGCATAACACAGTTCAAGGGTAGTCTTATAATTTAGGCCATTGAAAACCTACATTTAGCTTAAGTAAACCTCCTGCACAAAGCCAGAAATCTTTTTGTACAATAGACTAGAATATTAAAAAAGTTTCAGGTACATGGTTACATCTTGACAATTTGCAAGATATTATTCATGAGGATCCTCACTGGCTGGTGCATCTGCATCGTCACTTATTTGTAATTTAATTAAATCTTTGGCTAAATCAGATGAATTTTCTTCCTTTTCGGCACCAAAGAAAACACTAGTATCTGAATCTGCACCACCAACAGCACCTTCTGGTGTTTCTTCGATTGTGTCGGACACTGCTAAATCTGTATCTCCTAAGCCAGCTGAAAAAATAAAAAGAACATAAAACAAAAGAGTCAATCAACAAATACTATCCTTTTTAATATCTACTCCCAAGTTTATATTTATTTATACAAGGCTAGATAAACCCAACTGGACATGGCAGAAGAGGAAATGAAAAAAGCTAGTATATTGGATGGCATAACAGCCCATGCTGCCTTGGGAGCAATGCATTTATTTTCATACCTGACAGGACTGGCTCGGAGAATCTATGGCTTCCAAGATCACCTGATCTATCCAGTTGACATTTTTATTTGTGGGACAGCCTGCTTGCACCATCTTGTAGCTTTCACGTAAAATGTCATTAAATATAATGCTAACTATTAAACAATAATCCAGATAATAAATATGAATACTAAAATATAAAAATTTTTGGCTGATCTTTGGAATATGGCAACAGGTAGTTTGGCGACATTTTGGAGGCGATAAAGGTTACTACCTAGGACTTTGGGAATAATGTGAAAAGTACTCAGTTCCGATTACGCATTATTTTGTGTGAGGGAAATGAGAGATCATGAGATATGTCATGTGACATTAATGGACAAATCACTGTTCTTTAATCGGAAAAGGGGGTATATTTGTAAAAATATCTGCTGTACTTTATAGCAGTATTTTCATTCTATGTTCTGTGAAACAGTGTTGTTTGAACAGTTGTTGAACAGAAACAGTGATTTGGATCCCATGACCGTATATAAAGTAAATCCGAAATTTTTATTGCGTTTATGTGTAATTGAAAAGAATTGCTTAATTCCGGATAAGTTGAATGTCCAATATGTGGGAATGAAATGAGATTGTGTGAAAGGAAGGATATTACATATAGTTTGAATGGCGGTGCAAGAAACCTGGTGAAAATGGACATTTTGTGATCCGCCATGCACTCAAGATTCTGTAGAAGATTAGGTAAGTTAGTATTTTAATTATTTGAGGATATTATTTTTATGCATTGTTCTAAATGTAAGGAGTAAATAAATTAATATGGTATGTATTGGAAAATTGTTATTAGCAATGATTTAGTTTAAAGTAATTAAGATTGTAAGCTAATTTTTTATTAATTTAATGTATTTGCTTATTTATATTTTAAGTAGTGTTTTTAATTTAATTATATTTAATATGATATGTTGTGTTTAGTTTTGGATACGTTTGAAGAATGTGCAGAAGAATTTAAGTATTTGACAAAACTATTTGTAATATTTTATGTTTTGTATAATTCGTTGGTGACTTTTATAATAGATAATTTAGAGTAAAAGTTTTTTGGATATTTTATATGTGCAAATGTCTCCTTGGAAAGGGTATATACTTTTTCGCGATCGGTAATTTCATATATGTCCTTTTACCGAATTTAAAGATTCACAAATTTTCATGCATTTTTTCGTGAAATTTTTCTAATTTTGAGAAAAAGCAGTGTACATGGATAGTAAAGAGTGTGCGCAATGCCATTTTTGTGCAATTCTGGCAATGTTTTTTTTAAGTAAAAAGTCGACGTGTACATAGTTTAATTATATTTTAATTAAATGATAGTTATTTTGTGAATATGTTTGTAGCAATTTGGTATACGTTTGAGTTGAAGTAAACGTGCATGGAAATAATTTAAATATTTGAACTAAGTATTTGTAACCATTTTTAATATTTTGTTATGAATTTGTTGGTTTATAATAGATAATTTAGAGTAAAGTTTTTTGGATATTTTATATGTTGCAATGTCATCCTTGTAAAGGGTATACTTTTTCGCGATCAGGTAATTTCATATATGTTCCTTTTTAATTTAAAGATTCACAAAAATTTTCATGCATTTTCGTGAAATTTTTCTAATTATATGAGAAAAAAGCAGTGTACATGGACAGTAAGAGTGTGCGCAATGCCATTTTTTGGCAATTCTGCAATGTTTTTTTAAAAAAATAAGTCGACGTGTACATGCTTTAATTATATTTTAATTAAAATAGTTATTTTGTGAATTATATGTTTGTAGTATTTTGGATACGTTTGAGTAGAAGTAATGTGCATGGAAGAATTTATATTTGACAGATTTGATCATTAATGTTTGTTATAAATTCGTTGGTGACGTTATAATATAATTTAGAGGTAAAAGTTTTTGGATATTTATATTGCAAATGCCATCCTTGGAAAGGGGTACATTTTTCGCGATCAGGTAATTCATATATGTGCTTTTTACCGAGTTTGAAGATTCACAAAATTTTCCTGCATTTTCGTGCAAATTTTTGTAATTTATGAGAAGATAGCAGAGTAGATGGATAAAGTCAAGAGTGTGCGCAATGCCACTTTTGTGCAATTCTGGGATTTTTTTTAAGTAAAAATAAGTCAACGTGTACGTGGTTACTGTGTATGTGCGATTTTGAAAAACGTGGCAAGGAGTTTGTGATTCTGCACTTTTTCCCAATTTTGCAGTTAATATTTGTCATGATTAAGCAGTTTTGTTCCATAAAATTTCTAGCATAAGTGTAATTCGGCTAGCAGATTGTTGGAAAAAGCGTTGAGTAAATAAAAAGAAAAGAAACATGTCTTTACTTCGTGAAGACAAAATGGCGGCGAAAAAAAAATAGGGGTTGCTGTAGCAGAGTTGGTCGCCAAATTTTCGCCAAAAAATCGCCAAGTTACCATAACCCAAAGATCAACCATTAGATAAGATTCTTAATATAGGAATTCTGTTTTATTAGCTTATGATGATGAAAGCTAAAATATACACTTGGATACATGACTTTACTTTTCTCTTGTGAGTTCAGACAATTTGACACACTTATTAATAATTCTGGAAAAAAAAATACTGAAACATTCAACCAAAACTTCCCTACAGTTATTTCAAAACTGCACATATCAAACCTTGTGCTTTTTCCTCAAAGTATTTTAAGGTGTTTAGGCCTAAACAAACTATTATATAATTAATAATAAGAAAACACTAAATCAAATGTAAAATTCTACCACTTAAAAGGGTGATAGTCTCATTTCATACTGATTCAATATAAATTTAAAATCAAACAGTATATCAAAAATCCTGTCACAATATGATTGCATATTCATACATAAGTGAAAGAAGAACCATATTAAAAAAAATTCCCAAAATATAGTAATTCAAACTATAGTTGAAAGAAGTGCTCCACTATAAAAAAGTATATTTAAGGAGCTACAATCAAGTACAGTCAAAAGTCGTTAATCCGGACTCGTCGGACTTGGCGATTGGATTATAGATTATCTTAAATCTCGTAAGATGGCGCAAAATCTAAATTAAAATATGAAACAGTAATTTAAGATAAAGAACAATTATCTAAAGGTAAGAATTGGAGGCTCCCTCAGCCCACCTGGACACAAGTGTCCTATAGCTCAAAAGAAGGGCCCCGTATCTCCAAAACGACAACCAGTAACCCAGCCACCCCCAAAAAACAACAAAAATACTAAATCAAAACTAAATAAGCACATCTAACACAATATACAGACTAAAAAACAAAAACAAAAGAAGAAAAAAAAAACCTAAACACAAATTCACATAGAAACCACAGATATCCAAAACCCACACAAACACAAAACATTTTAACAGAAGATTCCTACCAGCGCCTTTGCATTCATAAACTTCATTAGAGCAATAGAATATGTTAAAACTTTAAATTAATGACACTTACATTAAATCAGTAATGTTAAAATCTGTCTAATAGGGGCTGTTAAACTACATCAACCACGAAATGCCTAGCATCACCATCACCTGACAACTATTACATAATTTTTTCCTTCAGTTTAATTGGTTGAATAGAAAGGAAACCTACCATGCCATTTAAACCTGATTATATCTTGTTGTTCATACATTTCATTTTATTTGTGATTTTAATTAGTTCCATATCCTTTGTTTTTAGGTGAAAAACCACTGTATTTCCATTTGTTACGTAATATTTTTCATTCTTCGAATTGCAATTCTCTTCGAACCTGTTACTTCAATATCCATTGCACTGACATTGAAGACTGCCTGCGTGGCCAGGCTGTCAGCCCTCTCATTACCATAAAGCCTATATGGGCCTTAACCCAATGTAGCTTATATTTAAATATGAACTCAAAGTTTCTAAATGATTCTTAATTTCGATAATTAATGGACTGAATTGTCTGGGCGGGAGAGAGCTGGAGAAGTGACAGGCGTCAGTGAAATACTTTACAGACGGGGCATAACAGGTATTTTTAATCCATAATAAGGCTTGTGAACGCTTCACTTTCTGCCTGGAAAACTGATTTATATATATCAAAAAAACTCTATCAGCCCTCATTCCATAGTAAAAAAACAAAAGCGCTCTTACGCTCCCTCCGACCCAGAAACCATCTGTAGAAATATCAACACATCAACAGTGGATTACATTTATCAAAAAAACCAATTCTATGGAAGGATGTATTAAATGAATATTAATTTTTCAAAAACATTCTTTGTACATTAATCTTTACATTTTCAATTCCATTCATCCAGTTCTAAATAAAAATTTCTCATAAAAAAATTGTAAATTGAAGAGGAGGCAGCCCAGCCAACACAAAGACGGCCTCGGTAGGCACTGTTCTAAAAACATCGGGTTAAAGCTAACCCAAGCTCTCTGAATACTGTCTACTTCATCTGTAATCTAACCAGTTCCCCTGCCCTGGATCCCCAGGCTCCAATTCCATACATGATTGGGAGCACTACATTTAAGTAATCTTCTTCAGAATGGAGGATTTCAAGGCTAAAATCTCAGCTGAAAAAGGTTCTTCTCTATAATTAATAAAATCAGATATTGTCTTGTACCAACTTAAATGTTCTATAAAATTTAATTTGTTTCATGATAATGCCAAGATATTTCATTTAGTACAATTTATTCTTTTGCCTTGATATTCAAATTTGGGTCTATTCTTTTACCTCCTCTGGAAAAAACATGCACATGTTTTTTCAATATTAATGCAATTTTTTTTTTTTGCCAATCCTTATATTAGAGCATTTCATCACAAATCTTTTTCCATTTTTCAGAGA